GCCTATATTGCTTGCTCCAGTGTGGACTTGCCCTAAATATTATATATATATAAAAAATATACTGCACTCCCTTAACAGCGTGCTTTCTCTGGGAGATGTCTGTATAAGGAGATGAGATGGTAGAACCTGTCCTCTGTTTCCGTGGTGCTCTTCCGTGCTGAGGGATTCCTCACGAAGGAGAATACATCTCAGTACCGTGGGAAAAGCCTCTTCCACAGCAAGTTTCCTGCCCAGCCTTGCTCCTCTACTGTGTTGAGTACAGTAATTGGCCTGGGAAGGCCTGTCCCCCGGGCAGAGGAGATATGGATGGTTTAGTGCTGAGATCAGCAGTGGTTTCCACATCCTCCCCCCACATTACATTTGCCAATACACGGTTGGCTGCGTTCCCTACCAAAGCCTGCATCCTTCTGTAGAGGCTGTGGGATGAATGACATCCTGAGACACTTAAGTATCTCAACAAACACCATGTTCAGCATTTTTCAGAAATGAAAATCAAGTCTCTGAACACACAGCACGTTCAGAACAAGTTGATGAGGGGGTCAGAGTGTGTTCCTCGTGTTGCCAGCGTTACAAAAAAAATCAGTTTGGTAGGACATAGTTACTTATCATCTATGAGTACGTAAGCTTCTTAGAGACGTTCTGAAGTCTGCAAAAAAACCGTGTAGGAAGTAGTGTAAGCATGACACTATCCCACAGCAGTTTCTTTTCTTGCTAAGACAACTTCCGTCCTTCACGGAATAAATAGAGACGAGTGCTCCTTTGGCAGCAGCCCAGTTTGCTTCATTTGTTCTTCTGGGTGAACATTTTTCTCTTCCCACACTCCTTTAACCTCTTCTCTCTGTTTTATTATCACAATCTCGAGTCGCTGCATGGAAATCCAGAAGGAACATTAGTTGCAGATTCAGTGGAAAGCTTTCTTTTGGCAAAAGCTAACTTTAAGGTAAAACTATAAACAGTTCTCAGTCTGGCAATGATTAAGACAGCTGTGTTGCTGAGATGCACAAAAGCTGTAGCTATTTTGTCCTGTGGGTTGAAATTATGAAGTTTTAAGATGAAATAACTTTAAAATTATTGATGGAAGATTAAAAGCAAAACTGCATGCTTTTCAGGAACCACCTGAAGGCTTCAGCTTTGCTCTCAAGTTTCTTAATGAGGTTTTAGTGGACTTTCTAACTACTAGTAAAATAGCAGTGCTATCCAGAAATAGTTAGTATCTATTCCATGTCAAGAGCTGCTCGCTATACCATGCTGCTGTTAGTACAGTTAAGGTCTAAAGAATGTGGTAATTGGAAGTTGGACAGGTTGAGATTGCTAAAACTTGTCCTTAATAAACACATGGATTATTTTGAAGCCATGTGTACTCAGAATTAACTTTCTAAACCTGTTCTGCTGCCAGGACTTCTTGTGCCAAGTAACCTTCATGGCAGAGGGGAGGTGGTGGTGTGAGGAGGTGTCCCTAAGCCAACACTCCTCTGTACAGTCGAGTGACGAACAAACAGCACTTAAGGCAGTGCTAGACCTTGACAGTTAGGTGAATGCAACCCAATCTTACCTCCTGTGTTACAATGCTTCGTAGCTTTATTTAGGCTTTCCCTTCTAAGGAAACATACTGAAATGTATCTCGTATATCCTTTTCTCGTGTTATGTAGATCACTTCTCTTTGTGACTGCGTATGTAGGATGGGATGGAGTATACATGGCCTTAAGTGCAGTTTCAGCAACTTAAATTAGCCTTTCAGGACCACAGTAATCAGAGATACGTTCAGGTAACTAATGCTGTGGATAGCAGTTTGGAACTTGTGGTCTGAGAGCTGAAACCAGCTGTCTTGTATGGAAATTTTTCATCCAGTAGACAAGTATATTGGTTGAATCGATCCACGGTAACATAAGTCATGGTCTCAGAGACCAAGGATTGTGTTAACTGAAGCCTAATCTACATGTATGTCCTTGGGTATAATATCAGCACCTGTGGGTACCCTTATACCATGTGGAAGAGCTAACCAGTCCCCAGTATTTTTGCAGGAGATGTTTTTGCCATGCCCTGTGTTTCTTATTGTGATGGTGCCCCTCTCTGTGCTTGGGGACCTAGATATTTTCTGCCCCTTTTCTGGCTTCTTAGTCCCGTTGGGAGAGCAAGTACATGAATCCTGGCAACCGTGCTGGAGTTGAGAAAGGCTATTAACACTGCAGCAGGCTGTCGAGCACCTCCCTGCACAAGGCCAAGTGTATTCAGGTTTCATGGTGCCTTTCCAAGCTAGCAATGCTGCTCGTGGTTACTTCCCTCTGTACTGCTATTAACTTTTATTTTGAAAGTGCTTCCTAACACTGTAGCTTCGTCTCCTGCCGGTCTGGCTGATACCGCTTGGATTTACACTCATTTTCAGGGACTGCTCTGTCTCCACTTCTGCCATTAGTGTCAGCACAGTGGTAAAATGTTGCTCCTCCAAGTTGTCTCCATTTTCCTGTAAGGGCAGTTCATGCATCATTTGCTATAAAGGTTCTGATAGCTCAGCAAATGTTCAAAGACGAATTGATGCTCTTTTGTGGCAAAAGGCCCAGTGCATAATTTTACATTTACTTGGGATAATGTGGCCTTGGATAACAGAGTCCTAGATTTACTGTTGCAGGATAGAGTGTCTGAGGGTTTATCCAGCCTCAACCCCCCCTTTTTTAAATACTGTCATTTAATCCTGACAAGCAGGCACAGGCATATCTTTGGTTGCGACCAGGCTTTCACTGCCAGCCAGTCTCTGGGTCCTAAACTGACTCATCAGTCAGAAAGATTAATAACTGCTCTGCTGGATGATTTCACTTGTTGTCATGGCACATATCCATTAATGGAAAACAAATATTCTCTGGAAAATGAAACACAGATCATGGTGTAGTGGCCAGCCAAGCCCTTTTGGCCAGATGCATAAATTAAAGCATATATTAAGTGTCGAGAACTTCAGGTTGCATGGTGCATGGCAGTCTTTAATTTTTTTTTTTCTCTTTTTAGTATTTCCTTTTTTTCCTTTTAATGGGGGCTGTTCCCCTACATCTGGAGCTGCAGTGTGAATTTTTTGCTGATAAAGAGTCGCTGGGAGGGTGTTTTCATCTGGGTTCATCTTTCCAGTGGTAATGCCTTTTAGCATGTGCAGGAAGGTTGAGGGTGTGAAGAAAGAAGTGCAGGCAAGCAGTGCAGGAAAGCTTTGCATTACAGCAGCCTGACGTGTTTAAAAAATAAAGAATATCCCTGAGGAGCTTTGGTACGCTGAATGTGTTAGTTAAATTAGTATTGAGTGCTTGTACATGGCAGGCCTTCAGAAGTGGGAGAACGTGGGGCTCCGAATGCAGCTTCCCTCTCGAAGGCCCCTTTCTGCTCAGGAACTCAAACAGCGTGCACACCATCTGGCATAATCATGGGAAAGGGGGATAGGGCTTTTTCCCTTCCACCCCCACTCTTCTTTAAAGATCCCAAAGTTCGCTTTCTGCAGCGGGACTGGGTTTCTGCTGTTTAGTTTGGGAAAGCAGTACCTGTAAGCTCCCCCCATCCCAGTGTGCTTGATGGGCTTTGGGTGGGTTTCTTAAGGGTGGGAAAGCAAACAGCACGTGGCTACGTGGAGCATCTGTGATGCAGCAGTTAAGTTTAACTAGCGTGAATGGGCCCTACAGTCTGTACACGCTGACGTCTGCTTGGCTGGAAAGTACGTTATGTGGCTCGTATAGTTTGCCAGGATAATAACTCAGCAGGGAGTACCTAGGGAGCAGACCGGGGGAAAGAAGGGGAAGAAAAGCCTACAAAGAGCGAGTTACTACCAGACCCTGTTAAAAACGGTCACCAGTTTTGTTGAGAATCTTACTTTAATCGCCGCATTCTTTGTTTTATTTCTTTGACCAGGAGGAAGTTATTGTTTCAATCAGGAGGAAGCGTATAAATGTTCTTTAAGGAATTTCTGCATGGGGAGGAAAAGAGATACTGATTTAAAAAACCCAAACCTTTGTTTTAGGTTTGCTGATGCAGATCCATGTCTGCCTTCCCGATACTGGGGCAGCAGTAGGTGACTTAGGCCCTTTCCAGATATTTAAGTAATTTCTAATAAGTTGGTGTTTGTCACCGCTACCAAGGGTATATGCAAAAGAGCTTGTGGATGAAATAACATCCTTTCACTTGATTCATTCATGTGGGAAAGTGTGGCTGGACTTGGTGTTAGAATGGGTTTAATTTTTTTTTTTTTTTAACAAAATTGTTTTGCATTTTTGGGTTTCACCCAGGATTTTCCAAATAAAAAGAAAATGGAATGGAGTTAAATGAAATTGGAATGGAATTAAACACTTATTGCTTCCCTTTCCTCCCAGGAACATCTGACTAGAAATAGGTATAACACAGCTTGTGATGGCTTCAAGCCAGTGTGTGTGTGTAGCATCCACATTTGTTGTACCTATATATGTGGATGGTATATGGAGGGGTTTAGCATTTATTCTAGGTCTACCTTGAACAGAAGCATTGCATGGGAAGTCATTTTTTTAAAAATCTATCTCACCCATGTGTAATAAATTCCACCCCCTTTCAAACCCACTCATGCACTTGGATTTCTAATGAATAAGCCTGCATATTTATTCATGAAGATTAAAGAACTGTACAGATAGAGGCAGCTGGCTGAACTTTTTTTTTTTTCACCCCCTTTAAATCTGCTGACCTCTGATCAGGAGTAAAGAGGAAGCCCTCTCTGATTCACTTAGGCTGTTTGCAGACTGGGACAGACAAAATGGCTCAGCTATTTACTGCTTAGTTACAGAATGTGGTTTCATCGAGTGGGATGCAGAGAGGGGAGAAAGCGGGGCTAAAAAATCTCCTGTTTATATCTAAAAAAATATACGAAAACCACAAAACAACTTGTTTTCAAGGTGTGCCTTCAGTGCTGTCTTATTGCTGAGCCCTCAAACATCTGGGCCCTGATTCACATCCCCTGCTATCGCTGTGCCGTGGTCGGATATGACGCCCGTCTCTGTTTTCTGCAGGCTCTGTTGCTGTTGGGTGGCATCGCTCTTTCCTGCCTCGCTCTGGACCTGCTCTTTCTCTTGTTCTACTCATTTTTGGAAGAGCGAAGAACATCTAAATGCTGACTGCTGCTGTACGGCATGGTGTGTCATCATCGCAACCCTGGTGTGCAGGTATGGTCGATGCCTGAAAGTCATCTTCCCTGTTATTTGGCATGATGTGTCCTGTGCATGCATTTTCATACCTGGTATGCTGTGTCGCTAGTTAGTGAATGTTGGCAGTAATCCCTCTTTCCACTTGGTATATGTATGTTTCAAATATCTGTAATGTATTTTCTTTCTTTCTACCACTTGCTGAACTGCTTAATGGTTTGAGCAATGTGAAAAGGAATAGCTAATGTCCTTCTCTTTGATACTTTGCAAGTGGTAAATCAAGGACACTGTGTCCTCAGGAGCTTATCACTTAAATAGGATGGATACAGTTGAAATATTTATCAGGTCTAGGTGAATATTTCTTAGAATCTGGTGTCCAAAAAGAATGACTACGTGGGAGAGTAGATTAGGAAGAAAGAGGCACAGGTGATTCTCTTGGGTTTGGAAGTATTGGTATTTGACTGCAGTGGATGTTCAGATTTTGCAGCCTATGTAAGACACTGCTGCATTTCGTTATCTGTACTAACATGCCATCTCCAAGGGTTGCTGGTAATGGTGCTAGTGTCAGCAACGTTTCATGTTATGACTGAGCAATAGAAGCTTTTGGAGGTGAGGTGAAAAGAAGGGTTTCTGAAAAACAAGAAGAATTAAGTAATTAGTAGAGAACGTGTGCGGAAGAAGTTAAAAAGAGAGAATTTACATTTTTTTTGTTTTCTGGGTTGATTTTTTTTTTTTAAAGTCAATACAGATGAGGATCTCATTTCCTAGAAAGTTAATGATGGGGCATCTGAAAGCAGGGACATGTTTGCAAACTTCTGGAAGGAGCCTTGGACTTAGTTTGTTTTGACTTGGGCAGAATGAATACTCTGAGCTCTATGGATGTGTGCCCTGAGATTGAGCACTGCATTTCTTAGCAATTCTAAGCATCATCTACTCTTGCCCAAGACTCTAGGTTGCCCCTCTGCAGGGCTGGCAGGTCTGGGAGAGAACAATGAGACAATTGTATTTTGCAGTGTCTTGTGGTTCACTTTTTGTATTAACCTGCTGATAGGTGGTGGATCTGGTATGTGATCTTTTTGGAGGTGAGCATGTTCCTTGAAGGCCAGGCTTAGCTGTTCAAGGGCTAGATTGTGCTACTAATGCATTTGTGTATTTGCTCTTTCAAGGCACATACTTAAGAGAACAGAAAACCCCTGAAGTACTGGAACAAACACTGCAGAGCAGACATTATGTTGTGAGTTTAGCAGCTGGGGATGGATTTGCATGTAGAGACAGGGGCTCAGTGTTGAAGAGGAGAGCTAGTGCACTAGCCAATATTGCCGTCTTTGTAGGGAGCTCTTCTGTGCTTTGCTGACTGGAAATAGGTGCCTGGAATGGAAAGGCAAACCAGAGAACAACTTGCAAAGAAGTCGTCTCAGCCTCATTCACTTTTCTTTTTAGTGAATTCAAGAGCTTCAGCTGCATCCATTCCAATCCACTGAAAGTGCTGTGGTCCTAACCCTTTCTTACAGAAGCTTTAGCTGATGCTATTTATGGTTGTGCTGCTGCTACAGGCTCTTGTTAGCTATTGTTATGCAGCATATGTGTCCAAGACAGCTGCTGCAGAGTGTGGTAGTTGTTTGTTTTTAGTTGGAGAAATGGTGAGAAGGAGGTATTCTGCACGTCTCCCAGAGCGTGCGTGAGACAATTTAAAGTTGGAAGGTCAGCATATAAATTCTGGTAAATTGGATGCGACTCCCAGTCAAGTCCACAAGCTGGAAAACTGCTTAGGCTTCCTCAAAGTCTGAACCATTGGTTCCCATCCTTGGTGTACCGTTTGTTTTTGCAAGTATTAAATGCAGGAGTATCCTTAAAACTAAGATCCTACCTGAATCTACAGTGATATTGGATGAATATTTGTCTTGACTTTTTTAAATTAATTTTTAAATTTCCACTCTGAAGTCAGTGCGCTTCAGTTGATAGCAGATTGGTACCACCCATGGTGAGTGAAGGTGCTGTCCAAGTGCTGCCGCTCTTCTGCAAAGCCGAGATCGGTTTTCTGCTCCTCTTACAGCAGCTGGACGCGACAGTGCACTCGAACTGGTGCCTCCGTGCTCAGCATCTGGCTGGGAATGCAGATATGGCTTCTGACAAGTAAGGAATCTAATCTGTGCTAGCAGGAAGTCCCAGTTAAATACCAACAGTTAAAGATTAGTCCACTTGATATATCCTATCCTAGCTGCGCGTTACACATAACAGAAGTGCCAGACTGGCAGATGCTGTAATGTTTCAGAGTGATGGGGAATAAGGCTATTCTGAATGTCTGTCTGACAGTAGGCTGACCTGGGAGGCAGTTTGCACCATGGTATGCAAGGGGGAAGAAGTAGCTTGGATGCTGAAGCAGCGAGAGGTTCCAAACAGCAGCTAGTCTGGTCTGTCAAAGTACCATGAAGTGGACTATTGTCTTCCTAGCTGAGAACTAGTTAACTCTGGTTAAGTTGTGCTTAGTAAATGCTCATCTAGGTAGTACTTAATCCCAGAGGGCTGTTTGTACTGTGACTCCTGCTGAGTACTATGGGTCACTCTATATTTCTGTATCTACACTTACTGCTGAGCAAAAGGGAGAATGCTGAGCTGGCGGGAAGACATAACTGGTTTACAGGAGCTCTCCAAGAAAATGTCTCTCTAATGAGTCTTTCCAGTTGCTCTAGCCACAAAGCTGCAGGAATGATTTGCCTAGATTATTCCCTGAATGTTTAGTTCATTTCTAGTCCGTACCAATTTTGATCGGTTTCTGTGTGTGGGGAGTTGTCTTATAAATCATATCATCTACCAGTTAGGTGACCCTAACTCTCCCAGAAGGGAGCTCAGCTCTGAAGGTGGGTAGGAAGCTTCATGGAGAGGATACCTGAAAGAAATGGGTACAAATCAGTGGTGAAAACTTGCTTTCTCAAGTGCCAGTAATAGCGCTTTCCCTTGGCGCGAAAGTGCAAGGTGGTAATTAGACAGACAAATTAACATTCCTCCTGAGAACATGAAGTCTAAAAAGGGCTCTCCTTATGAAGTTCCTGTAATTAAAGATGACTTGGTGTAGTTAGATTATTCATTTCTAAAGATGTGATGTGAATGGCTAGCGTTCATCTTTTCAGACAAGTGACTGGGTACCCAGAGGGGTTTTCACTGTGTGCGCGTGGGTATTACAACGGGAGGATCTCTCCACCAGAAGGCATATATATATGCTCTATATATCAGATTAATGCTCTGCTTTTCATGTATACCTTGTGTAATGCAGAAAACGTTTTTTTTGCAGGTCGTGTTGCAAGCTAATTTGGAATTACACTTGAATTTTCTTTTCTGGTTCTTTATCAGGGGGTGTCCTAAGTCCATGTGAATCTTGCATACAAACAACAGGAAAGCTATTGTCCAGACTTGAATTTCTTGAGTCTTGCTGAAAAGTGATACTGAAGTGTATGTATGCAACCTGCAGTACTTACAACTCATACTGTTGTATCTGTAGGAATACGTAGAAATCATGGTATGTTGCTCTTCTGTCTCACGTCATATGACTCTGAAGAGCTGGTATAGCATACTGTCTCTCTAGTGTGTTTCTGTGGGTGTGTACCGGTGACGATAATGTTAATCTCAGGAGTGCAGTGTTTTCTTGACTTAACATAAGTGGGTTTCCTAAAACTTAACAAAATTACTCAGTAGCCAAGTGGCTTTTTAAATGCAGTATTGAACAGCAAGAGCAACTTTTTAAATGACCCATAAGAGTTTGGTAGATTGGATTTTTTTTTTTAAATTTATTAAAGATCTTTATTCAAAAATATGAGTGAGAAGAAAGGCAAGGGAGAGGTGGGGGTGGTGGAAGCGACAGGAGACTGACAAAGGTAGGTTTGGGAGGAAGAACTGAGCATGGGATGGTGTGGATTCAGGAGGAGAGGTGTGTGTGCGCTAGGGAGGGGAGTGCGACAGAAGCAAGAATAGCAGAAGTGGAGATGACTTTCCTATAGAAGCGTTGAAAATGCGTTGGAGTATCTTCCAGAGGGTGCTAGGGTGGAAAAAAGCTGTGTCATTCAGGAATGCTGTTCTTGTATCTACGCTGCGTGACAGAAATGCAGGCTTCCCCATTGGGTGATGATTTTGTCATCCTGTACTGGGAGATGGATCTGCTGTATCTTAGGGGTTTGTGCAAGAAGCCATGTGATTTGTCCTGACCTCAAGGAATTACGCTGTTGGGTTAAGATGAGTTGATCTATTTTTACTTTAAAAGAATGCGCTTAAATAGAAGGAGCCCCTCTGTTTCCCTTTAATCAAATAAAAGGTAGTTAAAAACTAGTGCAAATCCTTAAATCTACTTTAAACAATAGCAACTTATACCAGTGTGTGTAGGCAGGGATTTGAAACAACTGTTGGATTTAGAGGAAGCCAAATGCAAACAGAAAACTAAACAGCAGTGGTTCTCTCCTCTTCCCCCACCGGCAGTTCCCCCACTGCCTGCCCTTCAGCTCTGCCCCTCCTCAGTCACAGCGTGGGTCTGGGCAGCTGCCCCCAGCCTGGACTTCTGGGCTTCAGGGATGGTTTCCTTCCCTCTCTAGCATGATAGAAAGGGGAACTGCCACAAAACAGTACAGCTTGCTCCTAGGAGAAGGAATGGCTGTGTAAATGGCTCTTGCTAGCACAGGGTGTGAATGCAGAGCTGGCTTTTGCTGGGCAGTAATGGAATAATTAATACTTTATGTGTAGTTTCTAGTGAATGTGTGATATGCATGTCTAGAGGAATTTGTTACTTGAATTAAATGGCTTTTATCCCAATTCCTGTCGTTCTGGTGTTTTTCTTTCAGGAGTGTGACTGTGCGCAGAGGGTTAAAGGCAGCTGAAGCTGTGGTTCATGCAGGGCTGGATAGGATGGCTGCTGGGGATGTGCTGCATCTTTAAGGACAAGATGACTGCTGCTGCTTCAGAGTGCTGTTTCTGAGTCTTTTCCACCAAAACAGTGCTACTGTGCTGGGAATACTGAGAGCCAAGCGAGCAGGTTTTGGGCAGTTACCAAGCCTTTGCTGAAAGAATAGGCTGCTGGTAGCTGTAACAGGCTGAATAAAAATCACTCACCAATTAAAGGGGTCAGATATGCATATTCAATGTCAAGAATGTTCCAGAATTTATTTGGTGTCTATAGTAGAAGCAACTGTTAAAGTTTTCTGCTGCTCAGGAGAGTGAAAGGATCTGTCTGAATTTGTTTGCTCTGATAAGAGCAAATGGGAAATTTAAGCCAGAGGTTTGTAATTGCCATGATGGGATGCTGGGTTGCCTTATCCTGGGCATAGCTCTGGATCTGTAATCTCTCTAGTTCCAGGGGGAGGGGTGTGTGTGTCTCTTTTATTCCCTCCATCCCTGTGCATCCTCGGCATGTGTTACCAAGCTCTGATAATAGCTGTAGCCAGGGAGGAATGCAGAGGGCTTTTCTCTCTTTAATTATCAGCATCATTTGCATTAGGAAAATGTTTGAGGAATGGTGTTCATGAAGAAAGAGGCTGATTTCTTGTATTAACATTAAATATTAAGAGTTACATTCCTGTTGCCTCTGTTTCTGTATATGATGTAGGCTGCCCACTGTCCCTGGAAGACTCTTCAGCTGAGGCTTTTATGGGCCAAGCTCTCCATAATTTATGGAGATTCAATTGTTGGAAAAAGCATGAGGCCGACACAGATATTCATAGTGGATCCGCTTCTAGTGCGTGACCTTTGCTTCTATTTCTTGTATGTATGAGGAGAAAGTAGAAATGCAACGAGGTGAACTATATTGTTCTGCTCACTTTCTGAAGTGGATGAGCCCAGGAAAGGAGGGACGGATGCTGTCTTCCTGCAGGAGGCAAGCGAGAGCAGAAACAGTCATTTGGTCTGCAGATTGGTGTGTCTGCCAGTGCAAGGGTCTGTTACCTAGACAAAGCTCACTCTGGCCTGCCTGCTTGGGTTCATTTCCCAGCCAGGTGGTGATGGTGGTGAAGAATGTCTAACGTCCTTTAGTGACCCTTCCTGTTAAACAAAGGCACTGCGCTTACTTGTTCTGAAAGCTGCTGTTTGGCTTGTTTCCTTCCTCTTTTATTCCTCCTTCAAACAAACTCTGTGAGAGCAGTGCTATAACCCAAGCACAAAGTTGTTGTGAAGAAACTAAACGTTTCATCCAGAATAACTTTAGATTTACACCAAAACCACCACCACCTTCCTTTTCACTACCACAAACACAACCCTGATGTCTTGAGAACCTTCCCAGAAAAGATCCTGGGTGCTCTGAAGCTAAATATGACATGAGAATATGAAATTTGTATCTTGGTAATGTTGATTTGCCCTGAGTTTAGTTGTGTGACCCTTTCACAAGTTCTCTCCTCCTCTGTTATTAGGAAAAATGGGCTTGGGAAGAGGAACTGTGAGTTCCTGCAGTGATGTCTTAATAGAAGAGGTATCGCTGACTTGCATGAGATAATCTTCTGGTTGCAACTCATTTACAGGATCTTCCTCCTTTAAGTGAGGCTTAAGCTAATATGGTTTACTTCATAATTGGGGCAGACTGATATGTGTGGACAGTTATGGCAAATCAGCTGATAGGTGGTAATTTGCTAAGCAGCTGGAGTTGAATTGTGTCTGCAAGCTTGAAATTCGCTTGCTTTAAAAATAAATAAGCCTTTTGTCCCAGTAAGTTATTAAGCCTTCCTTCCCAGTGCTCTAAATCAGTGCGACACAAATGCTTCTAATGGGAAGATAAATCAAGATAGATGATGTTCATAGATATTTCACAGTGTAGAGAAGAGGGCATGGATAATGTATCTAGAGGAACCACCACCATGGGGAAATAGTCAATGCAAGCTCTCTGTGTCCTACTTTTAAAAAATGTAACGAAGCAGTCTGTATTTCATGTCCAGAGAAGGCATGCGTCTCCTGACATAGCAATGGTAGCTCTTGCAGGAGCCACTGGAGAGCCGCTTTGGCTGGCTGGATTTCTGGTTGCCCATGGCTAGATCTGAGCTCTCTAACAGATTTTTATTATTGTACCATAAATGAAACATACATATTGAGAAGGGATGGTCTTCCGCTGTTCATCATATGGATGCTATACAGAGAATTGGTGGATGTTTGGAAAACATAGGTGAATGTTTACAGGTGAATTTTTTTAGTGGTTGCTGAGGAGCATGACTACGCCAGCTACCCTTTGTGGAGGCACATGGCTTCCCTTTCTGTGGAAGGTGCTGATGTGACTACGAAGGGTGCTGTAACTATAAGCCATGCGTTACATAGCTTGCCTTTTAGCTTTAACTCTCCCCTTCCTTGCTTTCTTTCTCTGCAGTGCTGGAATTGCTGTTGGCTTCTATGGGAATGGAGAGACCAGTGATGGCATTCACCGGCTGACGTACTCGCTACGCCATGCAAACCGCACTGTGGCAGGTGTCCAAGACCGGGTAAGCACTAGGGGAGACACGCTAGCAAATGGGGAGTGTGGGAATGAGCAGACTTGCTCAGCACCTCTTCTCTTGAATCTGGCTGTGCCTGTATCTCTTCCTCTTTTTTGTTAGTCTCGGGGCTTAGAGATGTGCTAAAATTTCCATTAATGGAGTGGTGCTTTCTTCAGCTCTTCTAAAAATATCAAAGCAAACACAGCTTGTTAAATGAAGTCTTCTCTTTGCTAGGTTTAAAAACAGCTTCTGATCAGCTCTCTTCCACACCCGGAAGAGGAGGCAGGCCAAAGCAGACAAGTCTCTTAGTAAAATGTATCATTTTAGTACAATCAGTTGTTGCTGTGCTACCTCTAATTTCATGGTATCATTCTGAAACCCGGATGGCTGCAACATGTGTATATGTGTTAAAGGCTCAGCTGAGATGCTATCATTGGACTACTTGCAAACAATCTACTTTATAGATGCTTACAAGTTCTTTTGAAGTGTAAGCATTCTGAGCCTCTTAAGACAGAGGACTGGTAATCTGGAAGCTGTCCATAACTTGCTAGTAAGGATGAATCCTCTTTTACTTCCTTGACTTCCTGTGCTTTAATTTTTTTTTTTCTTTGCCGTACTATAGGTGTTAGATACCGCAATGGCCCTGAACCAAACAGTGGAACCAAACTTGCTCATCCTGGAGGAGATGTTCACGAAGCAGACAGACTACCTGCATGTTATCCAGAAACTGCAAGGTCTCCTGGATGATCTAGTCAGGCAAACAACTGAGATCCCCTTTTGGAAGAATGAAGAGCTGTCTCTGGAGGAGCTGGCAATTCAGATTGACCTCTATGACTGGTACAGGTGTGTAGCATGCTGTAATGTAGTGGTTGTAGCATCTGTTTTGGCCTGTTTTGCAACAGTGGTGTGTGTGTTCTGGGTGGCTGAGCCAAAGGCTGTATATATTACTGCAGATGTTCATGACCCACCCAGCTGATTTGTTTCTTACAGCAAAATTGCATTCAGTTTAAATCAAAATGCATGGCAACAACTTTTTTCTTAACTCTTTACCACCAGCTGAAGGGAAACTTATTCTCAATGTACAAAATCTGTAGCTTGTGTTCTAACACTGGAGGAAAAAACAGCCACAGAGATAGCTACCCTTGTGTCCTAATAAGTGCACTGTAGTTGTATGACACATTAACTAAATATAGTGGAAAACTGAACTAGTTCCATATGTTAACACCATACCCTAACATTCCTTTTTTTTTTTTAAACTTCTTCAGTAAAAGATTGCATTCAATGTATTCCACAAAAGAAAACCTCTATCCACACCTCTATTCGTCTGTGTGGAATACCTGAAGCATTTTCTAACAGAAGTCTAGGAAGTTCAAGAAGCTGCAATGCCTGTTCTTCACCTGATGGTGTCCAGTTGTGTTCTCAACAACAGTGTATGCTGGGCGTGTTGTGTGAATGCTTTTACCTGCCTCAACTCCAGACCCAGCAAATATCCAGAGCTCTCTGGAGATTAATCATTAGTGGTGGCTTTTACTTGAAGAAAAGAAGGGCTACGTTTTTCCCACAAGTCACATTAGTTTCTTGATCTGTGCCTTTTATACACCGGTTTTCCTTTGCAGACTATGTGTTGGGGTTTTTTTGCTGCAGGTGGCTGGGATACCTGGGCCTGCTCCTGTTCCATGTTCTGATTTGTTTGCTGGTGCTCTTTGGGCTCATTAGAAACTCCAGGGCCATTCTTATGGGGTAAGTCCTGACCCAGGTACAGTGCATAAAGGAAGGTCAGCTGAATGCAAGTGCCTGCTAGTTTAAACCTCTTGACTCTTGTCAGTTGATTTTGAGGACTTCTGAGACTGAACAACTTAAATTTGCCTCTCAATATAGAGAGACTTTGTAGAGCGTAGCTCTGTGGGTGGGATTAGGGCTACATGAGAGATGTTCACAGGAAGGTTCTTGAGCTATAGAGTGCGATGGTGCTGGTGTCCATTGCTTTTGCATCAAAGATAAGGAACTCATTTGTGGTGGGGTCTGCCTTTCGCTGGGTAGCATTGGTAGCCTCTGTTTGCTGGGAGATAGTAAAGTGAACATCCTCCCTTAAATTTACAGGCTTGAAAAATCTCCCTTTATTTTTCTACTGTTGTGAAGGCATTTGTTAATTGATGATAAGCATTGCATGTGTCTGCACAACCTGGTAGCATGCCTTTTGTGTCACGATCTGCTCTTGTTTACCTTTGGCTGTCACACCTGAAGAAATGTTAAACTGAGAACAAGCAACGGTTTGTACAGTTATGAGGAGGAATCTTGTTACCATGGTACGGCAATATTAATGCATGTCTATTTCTAAAAAGCACTGCAAATGCTGCCATGCTCAGGCCCCATTACAAGAAAAAAATATTCCTCTCCCTGTCTTGTAGCTTGGTTTAGCTTGGCATATTTGGCAAAGATACCGGTATCATAAACACAGTGACAGTTTGACAACTGATACGGCCAAGAGTTTATCCTGGTACATGGTGATGCCATTAATAATTGGAATGCGTATTCAGATTTATTATTTGCCAGATGACTTCATACCTGGCAGGTTATACAGACAAAAGTCCAAGTGTGTGCACAGATGGTAAACCCAGGGTTTAAATTAGAATCTCATTCCCTGTTAGCCAGAAGTTCATATTAAGGCATTCCCCAAAGGGAGCACATGGCATAAAGAAGCAAGTGTATCACAGCCAAGCAAGATGGTGAAATGCCAATTTTAGATCTTTTAGCCAAGCAATCAGTTACTGACCCAGTCATCTTCATTTAAAGTAAAACAACAAATGTGTCTTATTGAACTAACGACCATGCTCAGCTGGAGGCACCAAGCTGTGTTGTCCTTATGTCATAAAACCACAGAACCTTGCTGATCCATGGCTGATAATTTTTGCATCCATTTCGAAAAAGCATGATAAAGTCTTCAGCCATCTTACTCCAGAGTGCTGCACAGAGGTCAGTCTGGTGAAGTTCCATTACTTCTGCAAGATGAGCCACAGATCTATTCAGAGAATGGGGATTACTCAGAATTAAAATAAGTTGGCAAACTGAGGGATAGATCTCTTTTTTTTTTTTAAAATGCAGGCCCATAGATTTATTTTTTTAAAGCTCTAGTCTTCAATGAGACAAATGTAGCAGAAAAGAGATATGTCCCTTCCTCAGAGATGCTTGTATTAGGTTTGAATAAAGAATACATTGGTTATGAACAGGTTTTTGTTTTGTTTTCTTCAGGGGTTGGGTGGGAGGAACCTACTTGTGATCAAAGCCTGAAGGAAAATCATCCCTGAAAGAGCAAGCCAGGGATACATAAAACGAAACTGCTTATTAGACTGCATTCCCATTCCTGACGGAGTTAAGGAGCTCTTTTACCTACATATCTCTAGTCCTCATACTGACAGCAAATGTGCTGGTTGGGGAAGTGCAAAAGCCTTTTCCACTGGTGTGTGCTAGCTGAATGTCACTGAGACCGGCTGCTCTGTCGTCCCTCTGCCTTGTGTCTGCTTGATAGCAGACACTTCCCACTATTTCTGTTGGTAATGAGGTCCAGCTATCAGAACAAAACTTTTAAATCTGTGCAGAGATGGACTCACGTGGCAGTGATAGACACCTAAACTGTTGCTCTGAACTGTTTGCCTGCAGGTGACTGTCTCTCTCCTGCAGCTATGTGGGATGCTTAGGTGCTGTTCAGATGCATGCAGCTTGGAACCAAAGTCAGGTGTCCTAGCAGGGACTGAGTGTTCCCTCCCACTGTCTGTAGCTGTGTAGTGCTTACACCTGAGAACCTCATTTATTCTAGAAACAGGAGGGATTTGTCCAATTTTGGAACAGTATGTTTGTGTGGGTTTTTTGTTTGATATGGCATATTTTTCTGTGAATATCTTTGGACTGGGAAAGTAAAGTCGAGAACGGGAATAGTGGAAGTGATGGGATTGTAGGCATCCATATCTGTCTTTGTGCCTTTGGCTTCCTTGCTAGAAGCAGGGTAAGACTTTGCCTCCACCCTCTTCTTCCTTCCCCTGCAGCCCCAGGGCCAGGTAACGTGTGAACCAGCTACTGGACAGAAACTTCTCTGGTTGCTGCTGTCCACGACATATAAAATGGGTTGGTTTATCTGAAGATGCAGTGGTTGATAATTTCTTGGTTTTGGTAATTGCTTTGGACTCCAAATAATACATCTTGTGAAAGGATCTGCTTGAAATCAGAGCTTCTACATCTGCCATCTGTCTGTCTCCCACAGGGTGTGCTTGCTTGGGGTGTTTGCCCTGATTGTCAGCTGGGGATCCTTGGGTCTGGAGTTGGCTGTCGCTGTGGTAAGTGGCTCTGATCCAGGTCCCATTCACCCTTTGCTGCAGGTTTATCAGACACGAGATTATTGTTGCGCTGTGCCTGTTTCACAGCGCATCTTGTTCTAAGTAGCTGTCCTAGCAATTTGCATGTATGAAAAGCACTGAGCTCCTCCTTCCTCCATGGTGTGTACTAGTACTGCTGTGGTTGTGTAAAGCAGTGCTAGTGGGGATGAGGATGAGAGACTTCAGCATCTGAAACACCCTGATACTAGAGGGTTCCCTGAGGTTAACCTGGCTTAACTGCTCTTTGATACTGGTGTTCTTTGATATTCCTTTTCCCTTTTGTCTTTCATCTATCTAGGGCTCCAGTGACTTCTGTATTAATCCTGATGCTTATGTCTCCAAAGTGGTTGAAGAGAATGCAGTGCTTAGTGCTGGTAAGTGCTGAGACTGGCTTTGGCACCGGGTACTGCCGCTTCAGCTGTCACATAGGAGCATGGCAGCGGCTGAGAATTTAAGGCTGTGTTTGGAATAGAGGAGCTTGCAGTGGGAAAAGCGTGTGTGTGTGGAGCTCTGGAAAACCAATGTTCTTCCCAAAGAAGCATTAATACTCTGGTCAGAAGTGCACATGCATGCTTTTTTTTTTTGTCAGAAGAGCATTCAGAACCTTTCTTTTGTCTTGGCCCTTAGGTGGAAATAACTGATAAGATGGAACAACAGAAGTTCCTGGATTACTTTGCTCTAAATGTAGCACTCTTGAATCTTGTTCTCCTCTCTATGTGACAGAACTGTGGCAATAGCAGTGTGCAGTTTGAGTTGTAATTTTTAAAACTTGCTTTTGGGTCTATATTCCCAAACCTAGAATACTTATTTTTATATCTGTTATCAACAAATATATATAATTTTTTCTCTTAAATAGTGGCTATAAATTAGGAGTCTCTTTAAAGCTAATTTTGAAGGGTAAATGAATGGAAACAGCCACAAAGAGAAGTATGAATTTCCCTTTCCATTATAAATGCAAACTGCTTTGTTTATCCTGCTCCATGTAAAGTAAAGCAATAGCCTGGATCACAGTTGCATCCAGCTGAAGCAGTGATGGATTTTAGGTTTGTTGCTCCTAATTTAGACTGAAGTGGTTAGTGAGATGAGGGGTGCCTCCAATTTGGACCTCCGCGGGGCAAAAGTGGTTCAGAACTGTGGCTTAACAAAAAAGTGGTTGGGTGCCTGCCAGCAGAGATACCATAAATGTTAAAAAGGAAAAGCATTTTTTAGGACTGAGTTTGCTGCTTAGGTAACAAAGTTAACTTTTCTTTTCTCCTACCTTCTCTTCCCCTGATAGTTCCTCTAGGTCGTTCTCTGTATGATAAAACACAAATAAGCAATGACACTGATTTGCAAAAAGAGCCACTTGTGTTTTTCCTGGCTCTTATTTAGTGGGATCAGAGAATCTTTGGACGTACAGAACGTCCAGTGTATGGCTGTGCGCTTAGCCAAATGCTGCCCCTTACTGTGCAGCTGAGAGGGAATTAGGTATGTAGCTATGGCTGAGGATGCAGGGATTAAAAGCAATAAGAAATGTTTGTCTGGAGGCAGAACGTAGTATAAAAGAGTACGTACAGGTTGATATTACCAGCCTACAGCTTATTTTGGGAATGCCTTATTTATTGATTTCCTGGGAAGGAGAGGATAGAGCCAGGCAGCTCAATACAGGAGGGTCTTTGTAACAAAGAAATGCAATAAGGGAAGGGAATGAGTGTTTAACACTGCACAAGATGAAAATCCTCTCTTGGCTGTGAAGATGTGGGTTCAAGTACCAAGCTAGCCTCCTAGTTGTTCAAGGAGGCAAATGGGTCAGTGAGGCCAAGGGGAAATACCTGATGCTAATGCCAGCTGTGCTTGTAATAATTTGGTAACCCAAATCAGCTCTGGAGCATGTTTGGTAACAATTAAATTGACCTTGGGAAACTGAAGAAATGCCCCTTTGTGCTACTTCTCCATTTTGGTTGTCCTTGTCTGCTTGGCTCCTGCAATTTTTTGTTAATCAGTATTATTCATTTGGACGCTAACGGTGAGTGCAGAACTGACATTCCTATCCCTCCTCCTGCTTCCCCCGGCAGGGACAGTCAACTCCCCCGGGTGAAATCAGGCTCTGTTCTGGCAGCACTGTCAGTTGTAACAGTTGTTAAGGCTCCATAAATAACAGTGAATGGGTCTAAGCGAAACGCTGAAGAGGAGGAAGAGCAGGTGTTGTCACAGGCTTGAGTTGGAAGGGTGGCCCCTTCCGTGGGTTGCTGGTGTGTCAGCTCCCTGCTGTTAGGCAGCCGTTGAGCGTTCGTGAGTGCCTTTTCCTTTTTTTCAGAAGGAAATCAGTCTGAATTCTGAGCCTGCCGTTGCACTAGGCAGCTGGTTGGGAGATGATCAAATGTTCTGCCTTCCCATGTGGATTTTCACTGCTGTGTCATAGTTTATGATCAGGAAGCTACAGAAATAGCTCTTGGTCCCCGATGTCGGGACCATCCTGTGCACCTGAGCAGGAAGGAAAATCACAATGCGAAGACTGCAGTGTGGCACTGCTCAAGGACACTTTAATCCCAATAATGGCTCCTCAGAAACATCTTTAAAAGTCTGAAATAAGTATTGGTATCCCTTAATACGCTTGGCTGTAAATTGTAGCGGTTGCTTTGTGATCAGTTGAGCCGTTTATACAGCAGGAGTGACGAGCTCAAGGAGACAGGGCAGGCAGCTGGGAGCCGGCATCGGTGCTGTCCTCTCGGAGGAAGCTGCCCTGTTTGAAGGCTCCCAGTTCTAGTGCACCCACTCTTCACGCTCTGGTTTGCTGCCTCTGCTTTGTGGGTGATGCTCTCTGACGTTAACAGCAGTATAGACAGATGAGGCAGAAACGCTTTAAGATTGCTCTAGCTAGTTTCACCAGAGTGTATCCGACCATGAATTTTTCAGTTCAGAAAAGAGATGACTAAGAGAGTGTATGAGTGGATGGAGGGCCTCCGGTAGTCCACAGAAGAAGAATTCTTTGGGACTTACCATACATGTAGGAATTGCATTTACCTTGGGATTCACTTGATCTGAAGTTGGGCTGAGAGGGCACTTTTGTTTTCAGTCTTGCCTAGGTGTCTGCTTCTGGCCAGTGCTGGGGTATGGCATACTGGGCTAGGTGCTGCCATCTATTTTTAAGGATATGAGAACCAACAAGTAATCTTAAGAAACTTTATAGTGCTGGGCCAATTTTTGCCTTTAATCACTACTTTTAGTTGTTTTTAAATGTAATGTGTTGCAATATTCCCAGCCCTATGCTCTGGCATTCAGATTAGGACTGAGTCATCTAGGTTTGCATACTTGCAATGCTTTTTTTTGGTGGTGGTGGTTATAGTAGTTTTCACAGAAAAATAACTGCGTTGGATACTCGGCAACTAGTATGTTAATATTCCTGTTTGTGTATTAATTGCTGTTTGCAAATCTAAATAGAATTAATGGAGCTGAGAATAATCTGATTAAGTGCATTAGTATTGTTGTCATGTTTTTAGCTGGAGAGGAGATGTCCTTGTTTTGTAGATAAAATGCACTGCATTAAAAAAAGGAGGGAGAATGGGGGGCAAAGAGCCTTAATGCAGTTTTCTGGAGAAGGAGAGACTTAAATCATTTTGCAGAAGAGGCTGATATATGTGCCTAAATCGCCCAGTATTCATTAATTGAGATAAAGCCAATGGAGTTGAACAGTGGCTGTATAATCGGCTCCTGCTGCTAGTAAAAAGACTTGGTGCAGCCAAGATGTTTATTTTCAAAGCAGGAGGCCATCTTCTAGTCTCATTCGTTTTCATTGATATTATGTTATTATCAGATGACTTATTGCATAAAATTAAATAAAAAGGCACAATCTGTCCAAACAACAGGAAGAGCTTTCTCCAGATTCTTGCACTGGAAATCTGCATGGTGAGCAGCCATTCGCTTCATCTGAAGGAACTGTAAACCTCAGGGGATGGATAAGGAAGCCTTCTACCTCCGGTCCAGCCAAGTTGGTCAGGCTGGATGCTGATACTTAGCTGCTCAGATATAAGCAGCAAGCGTTCTTGTCGCGCACAGCCTCCTAACTGGCCCCTCCCTGATTGAGTCTCATCTTAGAAGCACAGATCTGAATTAACCAGAGGACTGACACCACCACCACCAGAAGTAAGGTCAGGACAAAACCTCACGTGGGGCATGTGGTGGTTAAACAGTTATTACTTGGGCTCAGCGGGCACTGCAGAAAAGAGTTTGCCCAAAGAAGCGGTCTCGAGAATCCTGCTGAGCTGATGTCGGTGTTGAGAAGCTGTGTTTTGCTGTGTGGTTTTGTTGGACTCGCTGATTAGCAGAAAGCTTTGAGTGGAGGGCATGTGGGATGGCTACAAGCTCTTTGCTGGAGGCTCGCGATGGCTGATTTCACCAGTACAAGAGTGGCATATATGAGAGAAATATAAATGTTATGCAGATACTTCCCTTTGCTGTCAGACTGCTGCCTTAGGGAAACAAACTCCTGGTGGAGAACATGTTACCTGGGCAAGAAAATCTGGCCAGAAGAGTCTTCTTCCTTTGACATCACAGGCGATATACTTCAACTTTCTCTGATGATTGAAGCCACAAAGGCAGTTCATTTGGGTGTGTATGTAAAATGCAAGCTGCTTAGAGCATGCTTAAGTAGAGATGAAGAAGGCCTAGGAAAAGCTGTTCTAGGTGTGGGATTTTTTTTTTTTTAAACTAGGATCTTTTTTTCTGATTGCTCGTTACCCTACAGACCTTCTCGCTGCCTTTTGGCGGGAGCATAATGCCATTTTTGCATTTTGGCTGGGCTTTGAAGTGAATAGTAAGTCTCCATGGTTGCAGAAGCAGTAAGTAGTTCTAGCAGCTGAAGCTGTCTTTAGTAGGCAGTTCTACTTCCCTTTCTAGGAAAAACAGACTTTGCAAAAATAAAGCATTTTGGGTAATTCCCTTCCTTGCCTTCTGCTCCCACACTGCCTGTGCATCAAGAGAGTGGTTCAGGAGGATTGCTGCTAGCAACAGCAGGCATAGGCAGCTGCAAATGTGACCCTGCCTAACCCTTCTCCTATAAACTAGATCGCCTAAAGGCCAGCTTCAAAAATCAGATCCAACCTTCAGGAATTTTCCTTGAGAGGAAAATTCATCGGAAAGGTAATTATAGAAAGAAAGTGCCTGGAGCTGTTAGAGTGCAAATGATGGGTTAGGATAGCTGTTTTCTGGACAGAAATTTGAGGTTTGGTGTTGTACAGGATAGCCTCCAGCAGGTTTAAAACTGGTGAAGGTGCCTCCTGCTCTTTCCTAGTCCGGTGGTATGGAGGCAAGGGTAACACTCCTCTTAATTTCCAGGCTTTGCAGCACAGGATCACTTTAAAGCAGCTTCACTGCTTTAGCTTTAAAGAACCACAGCTATTAGCACACTGGGTTCAGTGCAGGGGAAAGCTGCTCCTGCTGGCTTTGCCATTTTGGAAAGCACGTTTTATGTACCGTGTCACACTTGTCAGCTGCAAAGCCAGTGCTACCAGAGCAAGCCTTGTTGATCCTGCCTTCCAGGGTGAAGCAAGGGAAGCACTTAATTCACTGTACTGCTTTTTGCTTCACTTGTAACCAGCAATCTTTATCCTGGACTAACAAGCTGCAAATTGTGATGATATCAGGAACTCTCATCTGTAATCTGCCCACCAGGGATGATCCAGAAGGCCCTGAAGAAACATTTCTGGAGCTATGTATTAGCGGTATGTCATGCAACTTAATGCACCTACAAAGGCGACGTAAACTTGATACCACTGTGGGAGCCTAAGAGAAGCTTTTAGTGGTATGTTGTTTTAAAATAAATAGGTGACAAGATCACAGCTCCTTTAGGTCACCATGTGTGATGCTGTGGATTGCTGTTGCTATGCTGTTCTCTCAGCGCAGGTGTGTGTTAATCTATTTTTCCGTAGCCATTGAGTGTGATTTATGAGCCTGGGAGAAGCAGTCCTTTCCTTGGCTCAGTAGTTGTGGACAGTTGTTTGTGCGATCTGCCCGAAGTGAGGCACACAAAGCAGTTCTTGCTGCCCTCCTACCTGCCCAGATTTTGCTAATTGCTGTTTAGAGGCTTGGCTGGGGAGACGTAAGTCATCCCAGAGAAAGAGTTGGTGGGGGGGAGATGGAGCAGCTGGCAGAAGCTGCCCCAAAGTAGCCTAATGAATTATAAATAACAGCTGTCAGGTTGCATTGCCAGTGTGCAGGAGCTGACAGTCTGTGTTGTATCACTTGGTCTCCAGTGTGTTGGCTTGCCGAAAGGTGCATTCAATATTTATGGGAAGCACGGTAGAGTCAGGATACAGTCAGGTTTGCTTCCTTCACAGCTCCGCTCGCTTGTGCGTTTTACCGATTTCTGAGTTGGGACTGACTAGAATACCTTTGCAGTCTGGAATATGCGTTACTGAAAGTCACAGACAAAAGATAAAAGGAACGGAGAAATGGATGCTAGGGGGGAGGGAAATGCAGAGTGTATGTGTCTTTTGGGGCTTTTGTCATCTTTACCGAGCCAACTTCACCCTTGATTTTGCTGAGCTGACGCCCTCCCATTCCGTCTGAAGAGGAACCGTAAATGTTTGAGAAGTAGTCTAAAGGTATTTGGATGATCAAGTCTTTCAGAGCTCCCTCCCTCAATAGCATTATTGAGAATGGCAGGGGAAAGCCTGGTATTTGTAACCTGTGTGTGCTGGCAGTTGGTGTAGTATTATGGAGAGCTCATAAGGGCACCAGGCTGGTTTCATACACATCTGAATAAGGAGAAATAAAACTGTGTCTTCAAGCCTGGAAAAGGGTGATGCTGCTAGCACAGCACTGTAACAGTCTTATCTGGAAGTTTACAAGTACATTTTCACTGTACTGCCATTACTGATAGAGCTACTCAGTATTAAAACTAACTTTTGGGATGTTACTAGCAAATGATCTGAGGTCCCTTGAACAGGTAACATGTTGGTGGTATCCTAATACATGATAAGAGCTTTCTTTCCTGATCAAGTCTGCAGTATTGACTCAATACCAAAAATAACTTTTTTTGCGTAAGTCAAAAGAAGGATGCACAACAAATGATGTACACTCTTTTAGTTAAAGTCTAATTAAAGCATCTAATTAAAATCTAATTGTGTGCAGGTGACATCCATCAGAAAACAGACTACTATTTACTTGTTCATCCCTAGTACATGTCAGAAAGACAAGAACTTGTTGTTTTCCATCCATTTCCTTACTTGCTTTCAAAGTGATACCATTTTTAGGGAATATTATTGAAAGTTATGATTTTGTTGAATGAAGAGGGCTTTCTTATGTTCTTCTACAGAACACTGCCTAAAACCAGTCTCTCCTTGAATGTGATAGAAGAATCCCCAGTTGTGAACGGGACTTTTTTTTTCTTTTCAACACTTGAACTTGTATACTTAAGAAGCGGTACATTCAGCTTTCTGTAGTAGCATAGGGGTGTTTATTTGCACTGTCTTTGGCCCAATGGTGTGCTTCCACAGGTATTTTTGATAACAGCCTGTATTGTATCACCACTACTACCTCTCCTGTGCTAGTATTTTGTGGCTGGTGAACTGAATTGGCTGAAAGTTGAGTTGTCTCTTTGCTGCGTACCCTAAGCAGCAGTCTACCTCTCGTTGCTTCCAGTGATCGTAGAATGGTATTCTGACACTTGGAAGCTGCAGAAATTAAACATCCAGTTGTATGACTTAAAGGCTAATGTCTTGTCTTACGGTTATACTGTGGATAGTGCTGACATCTGAATAAAAATTTTTCAATGGTTCACCTAATTGTATAAGTGGGGCAGCCCTGTGCCTTTCACTGTTTAAAAAAAAACCAAACAAACAACAACAAAAAAAACCAAAACAAAAAACCCCCATCAAAACAACCAAATCTTTCTTTTCTCCCCAAAGGCAGGTTACATCCCTTTCTCTAGTGCCATCCATGCACTGTAATCCTACACGGAGACAGGGAAGTATTTCCATTTATATTGCATTTTCATTTTGGGTGTTGCTTTCAGAACTTAACACCTCCCTTGCGGCAGTCATAAAATACTGCAAAGCTGGAACAATGTATCTAGCATGACATTCTTTTCTTTTGCCTTGTAGATACTCTCCGCTATTACATTACCTGTAGTGCTGGATACCCCAACCCTTTCCAGCAGGTGAGTGTAAGCATCCTAGCTCCCTTCACCCCTTCTCAGCATCCTGCAGGGTATAGGTTAAAGGCTCTTGATGCCAGCATGCAGCAAGTTGCAGGGTGTTAGCTTTAGAGCACTCTGCCTGTGGGTAAAGCTTTGGTAGCTTCTTTCCAGCTGTGCAAGAGGTGGCACTGGGATTTAGTGAGCAGCTTTTTCCACCCTCATCACTACCTGCATAGCTTCAGGTCCAGGATGCCCTCTCAGAGGGGCCCATGTGTGATGTGGTGAGGACCATGGCTTTGTTTGTGGAACCTCTGTTTACATGGCACTCTTCTAAGGGCAGCAACGTGGAGATGGAGCACCCACAATTAATGCCAGGGTGGGAAACTACATACTTCCTACTTTGAATCTCTTCTTGCAGGTTCTTTTCAGTTAAACAGTGGCAACACTTCACTCCCAAAATGCGGCCACTTCTGTAGGTGAGGGAGTGATTCTCACATACGCCTCTTAAATCCCTTGGATGTTGAAGGGTTTGTATCCTGAAGTATAAATGTGAGTCACTATTCTTTTGTGTGGGGGCTGAGGAACAGCACCTGGGCCCATCCCAAACTTTGTCTTATGTATCAGAGGCCAGAATGAACCTACACCACCCACCATTTGGCAGACACCAGCTGCTTCACCATTTATATTTAGGATTTTTTAAGTCTTGTCTTCCTCTGTTTTAAAGGGTGGGGTAAGAACACTTCAAGCTGTGGTATGATGCAGCGTTGCCATCTGTTGCATTTCTGGTTGCTCAGTATACTCTCTGACATGCTATTGCATGTGAAATTCCCATGGATGCTTTAATGGGATGTTAAAGCTGCACCCCAATACAAACAACTTCTAGTGTTAACATTAAGTCTTTCTCAGCCAACTGATTTAGTAGAAGAATCCAGCTGTGGTCTGTGGTGAGAACATGAGTGCTTTGTGTCTCTTCTTTCTCCTTGCCCTCTGTCCTGGAGCCGGCCCCAGCTGTGTATATGGTTTTTGTGCGTGTGTATGTGTTTTGTTTTGGTTTTTTTCTTTTGGTTCTTTCCTTCCCCTCTTCTTTCTGTCTGTACTTCTTCCAGGTTGGTAAAAGTCAAACTTAACCCTATCGCAGCTGTACCCTTGTCAGTTGAAACATCCTTAACTTGTACCATTCATACAGATGATACTTCAGTATGTGGGAGCAGAATTTTTCCCAGTCTTATTTCCCAGGAGTTCTGGTGGTTCATGTGGCCTGAATTGCTGAAACATTGCATGTTTTGTCCTGAGCAGAAGCTGTCAGGAAGTCACAAGGCTCTGGTGGAAATGCAGGATGATGTTATGGAACTCATGAGGTCAGCAAGCAGAGAGTACCCCACCTCCAAGGTAACTCTCCTCTCAAGTTTGCTCTCCCTGTGCTTTCTGGCTTCCCTTACCCGTGTACAAAGCACAAGATAGCTCCTGCTAAGCCATTTCCTTGCCGTAATCGCTAGCTTGTTGCTTACAGGAGTATCTTACTCGGATCCAGGAGGTTTTAAATTCAACAGAGATCAACTTGCAGCAACTGACAGCTTTAGTAGACTGTCGGAGTCTGCATTTGGTGAGTACTCAGTAACTGGGCTTGAGCTAAGAAAGAACAAAGGGGGTGTAGTGCGCCTGTAGCGTACTGATTATTTTGGAGTTTCAAATCTCTGGTGTGCCAAAACAGTTTACAACAGCTTTTACTGATTGACTCCAGCAGAAAGGAGAATGGGAATTTGGATCAAGTTAGGTTTCTGTTTAAAGATCAACATAGGAAACTAGATAACACGCCTTTATACATCTACAAGCTGCAGCCCTAAGGTTTCAGGGGCCTTCAGGGTTTATTTTCTATAGCACATAGCTTGTTGCCTTTCCCGTGGAGTGGAATGCCTTATAGCTGCAGTATAGCATGGCCTAACTATTTCCCTAGCTGCGTCTCTGAAGGCAGAGAAACAGATAGTCCATGCCTGTGTTCTTGGACAATGGAACATAGTGAGGGAGCTGAGAGGCTTAATGAAAAATGTGGTATCTTAAGTTGGGTGGATAAGTTTGTCTTGGCTTTTTTCTTTTTTTTTTTTTCTTTTAAACTCTTATTGTGTGGGGTTGAAAATATTCCCACGTCTATATCTGAGTTGGGCTTTATGAGGGGAAATAAGGGTTAAGATCAGTTATGAAAAACTGAGGTCCTCAAAATTAAAATAGAAGTATGCTCTGGAAAAGGGACTACAATCTCGTAAGTTGTTTCAAGAACATAGTCCAGGGGAAGGGCTTTTGAATTAGAGCTCAATGTTAACTCTCTAGTGATCAGGAAACTCTCCTCTTTTCTCTCTAGGATTACGTCCAGGCTTTGACGGGCTTTTGCTATGATGGAGTGGAAGGCCTCATCTATCTGGTTCTCTTCTCCTTTGTCACAGCCCTCATGTTCAGTTCCATTGTGTGCAGCGTCCCACACACTTGGCAGCAAAAGAGGTATAGAGAGGGTTTAGATCCTGTAGTGTTGTAGAGTTCTTTCCTAATGAAGACTGGCTATTGGATTTGTGCCCATGAGCATATGGAGCTCTTTCCCATATAATCCCAGGAGTGTGAGAAATAAGGCTTTATAAGCACAGGTCCAACAGAAAAAAAAAAAAAAATTGGCTTTTGCTCTGGCTGTAGTTAGTATTTACATCTGAACCTTATTGCACTGGGATACTACGTGTGCAGAGTATTCAGCACGCTGTAAGACTATCAGTCAAGTCAGAGATGAATGATTATATCTGTAGAGAGAGGTAATGCTTGAACTATGTGCCATCTCTGTAAAGTACCTATTCTCTTGCATTGCTCTGAGGCATTTGTTCTAGTATGGGGAAGAGAATTGGAATGAGAAGCGGTTCACACTTGCCTTTCTTGGCTTTGCTCATGCTGGGGCAACTGACTTGCATAGCTAATAGAAACTGGGAACTGTCTTGCTGGCAATAGCATGGGCAGATGAGATACTTGCAAACTGGTGGCAATCATCTAACAGCAGAGTTGTTTGGAACTAGTGTTAATGATGGTAACCAGGCTGACCAGTAAGTCTTGAGCGAACCTTTGCTTCACTGACTGGCTGCTGCACCACATGCAGCTATTAAAATAGCTTTGAGTTTTCTCTTCTTGCAGAAGAGCAGTAGACTGTGCAGCAAATTCTCTTCTGTGGTCCTGAAACGTGATTTTTATGGTCTAAGCCTAGGCTCAAGGTTCAAAGTAAAATGGAACATCCTGAACAATAGAAGGAAGCCAGAGCCCGCCAGGCCTGCAGTGCCCACAGAGAAAGCCACAGGGAAATGCGTCAGAATAGCACTTGAGAAAATGGTTGGTTTCCTTACCTCTTCCACATGCAGCTGCAGAGGCATTATCAAGAAGAGAACCGTAGTCTGCCCATTTGAAGGAGCAAGGTTTACACAGTGTTACCTCTTGTGCTGCCTTCCATGCGGGCTGCTGCCTGCCCTGCAAACCCCAGCAGGCTCAGGCTGCTGCTGTGAACTAAGGATTCCCTCTTGCATTCCCCGGAGCACCATTTCTTCCTCTGCCTCCCTCCAGGAGGTGGAGGATGTCATACTTATTGCCTGTAAGAGGCTGTGCAGGCTGCAATTTCCTGAATAAATCTTCAGTGCCACCTTGTGGTACAGAAGCTGCGGGTGATGTTTGGGATGTTCTAGCGATGTCCACGCTGTCTCCCCCAGCAACAAAGTGCTTCCTGTAGAACCTTTTACTAGCTTTGTCAAGTGTTGCTAAAATATATTTCAAACCTCGGTGCTTCATCGCATAATTAGGGAGATAAAATAGCAGTGTATATTATATAGGAGGGGCAAGAGAATACTATGGGAAGGGGTGAAGGAGCCAGCTGGCAAACGGCTCTGCTCTGCATTAGAATTGATTTAAAATCCTGGCATTTTTGAGAGAATAAAGCCTTTAGACACAAATGTTGCAACTTAGTCTCTGTAAAGACTTCTGAGATTTTGCTGGAAGCTGAAGCAGACCCTTTGTAACCAGAATTGGGAGTTCAGAGAAGTCTACAGAGACTTATCCTTAAAAGCTCTTTGGACATGGCTACAAGAAATGGAAGGACACACATTGCAGTTTTGAAGGATGCTTTCTGTGGGGTGCATGGCACTACATTCCCACTGCCTCCCTCTGTTTTGTTTTGTTTTGTTTTTTTTTTTTTCTTCTTTGAAGTGCTGTGTATTTCAGGATGTGTCCCCATCCTTTGGTTGTATGACTGGGCAGTTGCAGAACTGTGCTGACTGCCAAGCCCTGAGAGAAGACCGTAGGGAGACTGTAGGGGATCATGCAGTGTAAAAGTCCAGATGGTATCTGTGGGAGGTCTGAGTCACTGTGGTGTAGGCTGTGTTTGACACTGCCACCCTGAGGCATCCCAAATGGGTATAAATGTGGAGGTGTGGAAGATGGTTGGGAGGTTCCTAGGATTACCATGGTTTCCTGCAAACCCCACATGTGGGGTAATTGTAGGGTTCTAGGAGGAACTTTTTCTCCTTCTTGCAGAAGCTCAGATGATGATGGGGAAGAAGAATCAGCTGCTCAAGGGAGTAGACAAACACACGATAATCTTTACAGAGTGCACATGCCCAGCCTCTATAGCTGTGGGAGTAGTTATGGCAGTGAGACCAGCATTCCAGCAGCAGCACACACAGTCAGCAATGCTCCCGTCACAGAGTACATGTGAGTATCCCAACAAGAAGGCTGTATTGCGGCTTGTCCAGGTTGCTTCACTCTGATTTCTGTAGTCGCTAAGTGCTGCGACCAAGCAGTAGAAAGTGATGAAGGATTTTGTCCAAAGCATCAAAAGGCATGTTTTCTGATTGGCATCTATTGGGAGAAGGGAATAGCTTAAAAGTGCTGCAGTAGAAGGAGTTGTATTAGCCAGCATGCTCCAAAATGTGAACAGCTTTGTCCTGCGGGATTTAGAAATCTGTCTAGAGAAAAGAAGTAGGCAAGTATTGTCTGGGCTTCTCATTACACAATGATTCTGATCACCAGAAGACTTAATTCTTCAGACCGAGCAGTCTTGCCAGAAGATTTTAAGCCTCCTGAGAGACTGAGAGCCAAGACAAAACCTGCAGGCTCTGTCCTTCCACAATATTTGCAGTCAGCTCTGACATCTGTTGCAGTCCAGAGCTACCTAGTGCAGGTGGGATCTTCAGAGCTTTCTCCAGAAGTGCCTAACCCTGATCACGCTCGGACTACCTTCAGGGCCTATCTTTTTTAGGCTGGCGCATCATTTTGTTCTTCCCCTTAGACACTTTGTCCTCATTTTATCTCCATTTCTGCAGCTTGGCAGTTCTGACGCTGCAGGGAGGCAGATTTTCACACGGACCTATTTTTAAATCACTTGACATGATTCAGTGTTGGGCCCTTCTGAGTAAGAGTGTAAAGATAGTGCTTAATCTGGAGAAAATAATGCTAGTTTTGTGCCCATATCTGAAAAAGGGGCCTGTAAGAAAAGCTTTGAAGGAGACTGATCTGATACGGTCAGTTCTGGGGGTGCGTATGCTCTGTCCCATGTCACCATCAGAGACCTTCCCCAGAGAAGCATGGCACGTACCCCCTGTTACCATGTGTGTCTTCCTTTCCTAGGAGCCAGAATGCAAATTTCCAGAACCCCCGTTGCGAGAATACCCCGCTCATTGGCCGGGAGTCCCCACCTCCCTCAGTAAGTCTCTCTTTACTGCTCCTCTCTGCTTCAGCAACTTTGGGGAATACACATTTACTACTCCTGAATACTCTCAAGGGAGCTGATTGTGCAGCCAAACACAGGATCTGGTCCGTAAATGGCAGCAATTTGAATAGACAAGCCATGACTCACCTGCCACAGAGAATAAAACTCTGCTATGCTACTTTGGACATTGCACATAAAAAGAATAAAGCTCAATCTATTAACACTGGTTAACTATGGGCCTAGTCCTGCCACCACTGAAGTGCATGAGT